TTTTTTTTTTTTTTTTCCTGAACCAGGGATTGAACTCAGGCTCTTGTACTTGCCAGGCAAGCGATTATTCTACTGAGCTGTCTCCCCAGCCTGAAAAATTTCTTTAAAGTTCTATCTTTCTAACTTTTTTTATATCTACTGTTCACTTATGAAGAGTGACATTTACCTAAAGCAGTTGGTTGGGGGAGACACTGGAAAGCAGAGTACCGTCAGTCACTCCAAACTTCTGTTGTAGGATGAAATAATTGTCTGCATCTGTAACATCTCAGCTACCAAGTGTCTGATAAAGTGCTGATGAGGGGAAAGTAAAATGGGCACACTTTTTTAAAAAATGTATTTAGGACATGGACTACAGGGTCTCACTACGTAGACTGAACTCTTAGTGATTCTCCTGCATTCAGCCTCCCAAGCGCTGGGATTACAGCATACCCTGGAGGTGGGGCCAGCATGGCATGCCAGAGATCGAACCCCAGCCGCTGCACTCTGCTTAAGCAGCCGCTTTAGTCCGCTGAGCTATCTGGCTAGCAGGACACACTTTAAAAAACAGTTATGTGGCTGGGTGTGGTGATACATACTGTAATCCCAGCCCTAGGGAGACTGAGGCAGGATTGCTACAAATTCGAGGCTAGCCTAGGCTACATAGTGAGTTCAGGCCCAGGCTAAATTATGTAGCAGTCCCTGTCTCAATTTAAATAAATAAAGAAAAAATACTTCTTTCTTAGACCATCTTACTCCAATTTAGTCTTACTTTCCATTTACTTAATCTAACTTATTGTGGAACTATTATGTGCCATATGTGTTTTCTAGTGCAAAGGAAATATATAAAGCCAGCTGAGTTCTCAACTTCAAGGAGGTTATATTTAGAGAAATGAATTAAAAATGGACCTCATTCTTTTCTGGTGGGTATTTGTTTTGAGACAGGTTCTGATATGTAGTTCAGGCTAGACTTGAACTCGCTATGTAGTGTATCCTGGTCTTGAACTCTCGGTGGTCCTCCTGTCTTAACCTCTGAGTGCGGGGATTACAGGCATGTGCCCCTACACCTAGCATTCAGCCTCATTCTGGATGAACATTCTGATGATGGCAGAAAAGAAAATGCTCTTGGCACTCTAGGAAGTCATGGTTGAGTCTAATTGGAAAGGAGACTGAGGGATGCATGTGTCTTGGGTGTGATTCTGTCAGGCGGGGGATATTTTATTCCAGGGGACAAGTTGACCTGATGCCATGGGTAGCAGTAAGAGGTGGCCCTGCCTCCGTTCCTCCTCCCTCCACTCTGGTGTCTGCAGGCGAGGGAGACCAGCAGGTTGTTGCAGTTAGCCAAAGAAGCAGTAACAAGCTTAAATGGAAAGCAGAGAATATAGCTAAGAGACAGCTGAGGGAGTTTCTGACTTTGAGCACTAGAGGAGTGATCTTTATTGGAAACTGGAAATATAGAAGATCAGGGGGAAATAGAAGCCGGCAGCATTCTGGACTTACGGGTAGAGTGCAGAGGGAGCTGGCAAGAGCTGAAGTGCCTGTGTTTGTGTTTCAGATGGTGACGCTCTTTCAGATGTGGGTTGTTCCCCTCTATTTCACAGTGAAACTGCACTGGTGGAGGTTCCTCGTGATTTGGATCTTCTTCTCTGCTGTCACAGCCTTTGTCACCTTCCGAGCCACACGGAAACCTCTAGTACAGACAACCCCAAGGTGAGCTTTTAGTTAGCAGGGAAGAGGGCACTTCACTTGCTTGAAGGTCATGCATGTGCTGGGGTGCATTGGAGGATGGTGGACTTAGATGGGAAAAACTGCAGTTTTTGTCCTCCAATGTTACTTGGTATGGGACCCCTCTAAAACAAGCGGATTAGAGACCAGCTCCCCTTTTCACATGCTAGAAACCCCAAACATTTCCCTACAGCTTACTTAATGGTTTATGTCAAAGTCTGTCTATATTAAGGACAAAGTAGATCATGATGGTCATTGTTGTCTCGTTTTAAGGGTTTTCTTCTGTGAACCTTTCTCTCATCTCTAAATCAGATTTTCATTATATTCTTTCATAAGGCTCTGTTTTTCATAAAACTTACCACAATTTACAACCAATTATTATTTTGAGTATGTGTCTCCCCCACTAAATGTAACTGAGATCAGAAACCATATCTGTTTTATTTATTACAAGTTTTGAATGAATAGTGTTTTTTCTTTGGATTACAGAAGAACTTCTGCCTAATAATTCTTTATATTTTATCCAAATGTATATCTCTCTAATCCTCCCAACTAGTTTGTGAGGTCATTTAATATGCTTGGCAGAAAAAAAAGAGATTTTTCTCATTCATTCATTCATTGATATAGCAAGCACCTGCTATGTGCCAGGCTCCATGCTGAGCACTGGGGATATAGAGCTAGATAAGACACAGTCCCTGCCCTCAAGGAGCACTCAGTTTAATGAAAAGCACCTGGTTGATAAGTGTGTGAGAGGCGTGCACAGGGCCAGGGAGGTGTGCCCAGTGGGGGAGCCGGCCAGCCTCTGAGCTGGGGCCACCTGATCCAAAGTCTTCTGAGTTGCAAGTTGTGCTACTTGTATCCTGCTGCACTGCAAGCCTTTCTCTGGCCTGTGAGTGTCATCATACAAGGTGAAGCTTGTGATCCAGAAGTCTGGCCCTTGTCTAGGCCCATGAAAGAAGATATAAGCTCTGGGATCAAGTGGATGTGGATTGAGATTCCTAAGCCTATTCCTTTCTGTTATTGTTTTTTTTGTTTGGTACTGGGAATCAAACACAGGACCTCGTGTCTGCTGGGTAGGCATTGAGACACTGAACTATGTCCCTGGCCTCTTATTTCTTATTAGGTCTGTCTATACTATCACTTTCTAGAGCCTTGAATAATATCTCCCTAAAAATGGATAATTGTTTCATCTCATATATACAAGGAAAATAAAATACCTCAGGAATCACCAAGTATAGAACAGTATAAGCTTCTAACTAAAATGATCAAAAAAAGTATCAGTAAAATGAAAGATTTTTATAATAGTGACTAAAATTCATTAGTGCTATACAGTTTCAAAGCATTATCATAAACGTCCTCATTTGTTCATGTAGTATTTAATGAGCATGAACCAGGTGAGAAAGGTAGCATGGTTCTCCCATTTTCCAAGGAAGTAAATTTATCTCACAAGATTTGACTTGCCTGAGGTTACTCAGCAAATGGAACCTCACTTAATCTAAATGAAGGATCGACCTAAAATCCTGTGTCCTTATCATCTGTGCAAACTGTGGCTAATGGAGCTGTGAGTTGTCTTCAGGGCAAAACCACAAGCCCGAGAAGCCATCACTACTTGCTTAGCCATAGCAGGGAGGCGCGGGAACCTTCGGCTTCTTCCTTGGCAGAACCCAGTCTGCTTTCAGGAACCAGGCAGGCTTGTGCTGGTTAGCTGAGCAAATTGCTAACTTGCTTGTTAGCCTTCATCACAGCTAGACTAGCGGCGTCTGTTATTAGCAGCCTTTGTCTGTAGCATTTACAAGGCTCTGGTTTGTTCAGAAAACCACGTTTTCTACTTGAACGCAGCTGGAGTCAGCCATCCAGATTCCTCACTGCTCTTTGCTGAGTCTTGCTGTACACTACTTATCCTTCCGTAGTATGAATAGCCCCACTCCATCCCCTACACCACCACCAAGGCACAGATACAGCTAATTCAGAAGTACATTTTTACTAACTTGTTTTAAAATTGTTTCATTTTTATTTTATCTTTTTTTTTTTTTAATTCAAAAAAAAAAAAAAAAAAAAAAAAAGAACTGGGATAGATTGCAAAGGGACCTAGTGGGTAAGGAGTCAACACTTTTTCCTAACCCAAAGCCTTTTGGGGCATCTCTGGGGTGACAGAAATGTTAGAAAACTGGCAGTGGCTGCATGATGCAACAAATTTACCAGAAACCATTGGAAAAAAAAAAAGAAGTGCTTTTTTGAGTGCCTCCCTCCTCATTTCTCTTATAGAGAAAAAAGCCATTGCAGAAGCAAATTCATGAAATCATTTATGATTGGCCTGTGGGCAGGAACTGTAGTCATATTAACTAGTAGTGAGTTTCATCTCATTCATCTTCCCTTGGATTTTCTTTCCTGATAAGGACAACTACTAGTCCCTACTTGTTCTTTTCTGAGGTCAGCAGTGCCCTTAGTTTTGAGGCTGAAACTTCTTTTTAGAGATCTGTTTCTTCTCTTGATCTAAGACAAAGCACTAATTCCCTTGTTTCTGCAATTAGAGAAACAGACAATTTTGGATAGTAGTTGAAATTGCTTAGTTAGTTCTGAGCATAGAGACTGATGTCCTCAACTGATGTGGGATTAAGGGATTCCAGTGGTCCAGTAGCCCCTGAGGCCAGAGTCTCAGCTGAACTAACATCATCTCCTTTCTCCAGGTTGGTTTATAAATGGTTCCTGCTAATATATAAAATCAGCTATGCTACTGGCATCGTTGGCTACATGGCCGTCATGTTTACCCTCTTTGGTCTTAACTTACTGTTCAAGTGAGTACCCTTTGCTTTTGTTTTGGGGGCATTTGAAGAGAAAGCTTGTTAAGGATGTACCTTTCTTACCACAAATGCGTATTAACCAAGGGTATATGACAGGATAGAAGGTTTGAGCACTGTAGGGGACGGACAGCAAGACAAGAAGCCCTTCTTGGTTGTGGTGGCGAAAAGCAAGGACTGCTGGGTGTGTTACACACTTGTAATCTCAGCACTTGGGACACTGAGGCAGAAGGATCATGGGGCCAGCCTCAGCTACATATTCAGACCCTGTCCTTAAAAACAAATGGGGGGGGGTGCTGGGGAGATGGCTCAGTGGAATAAGTGCTTCCCTGGCAAGCGCAAGGGCCTGAGTTCAATCCCTAGTTCCGCAAACAAAACAAAACAAAACAAAAAAAAAAAAAAGAAAAAGAAATGGGGGGTGCCTGGTGAGCTGGCTCAGTGGTCTAAAGCACCTACTTAGAACAAGCTTAGCAAAGCACAGGGACCGCAGTTCAATCCCCCAGCACCACATGCCAGCCAGCCCCGCCCCCTGGTGGGCTGAGCTGGCCACACCCACACCCACATAAATAAAGAAATAAAATTAAAAAAAAAAAACAACAAACAAATGAGGGCTGGGGAGATAGCTCAGTAGAATAAGCGCTTCCCTGGCAAGCATAAGGGTCTGAGTTCAATCCCCAGTTCCGGAAAAAAAAAAACAAAAAACAAATGAAAAAAGTGAGAAATGTTTGGATATTTACAAAGTTTGAGTTCCAAATTGTTGGTTATGTTTTCTTTTTCTTTTTTTGCAGTAGTAGGGATCAAACTCAAGACCTTGTACTTGCCAGGCCAGGTGCTTATGCCGCTGAGCTATATCCATGGCATCTATATTTTGATAACTTAAATTTCAGTGGTAAAGTATAGCCAAAATAAGTGTCACAATGATTGTAACCAGTTACCCATAATTCCATTATTGTAACAACTATTTTTCTTGTCCATGTATACTGTTTATTGCAGTCTTTGCTTTGCCTCAGAGATCTTATATTCAGTTAGACCATGAGCTGAGAAACCACATCCTTTGGGCCAAATAAAGTTTAACTGGAACACAGTCATGCTCTGTGACTTACATATTGTCTGTGGCTGTTGTATTCAACAACAAAGGTGAATGGTTGTGGCAAAGACCATAATAGGTCTCAAAAACTAAAATATTTGAAGCTTTGCCTTTTACAGAAAAGGTTTGCTGACCCTTGGGATAGACACTCAAACCAACATGAGGAGAGTTGCCCATGCCTGACAACAGATTCCCTTAGAAAGAGTAAGGCAGGAAACACAACAGTCCAGGTATCTTCAGGAGACTTCCTAGTACTCTTGGAACTGAGGAGTACTGAAAACACATGTGGAGCACATCCCACATGGTGGGTTGGGAGCCACCCTGGCTGGGAGCTTTGTCCTCCCAGAAAGCATCAGTTTCAAGATTGCCCTAGTTTAGGTTCGGTGTGCCACTCACAGGCTGTGTTCATTATGTAGGCGGTCTTGCCTGTTGCCAGCTGACACTTCACTGTTATCAGATTTCTGAGAAAATAGTTTTAGGGAGTTAACCTGTCAGTGCTTAAATCCTGCATTGGTTGGGGCTTAGTTTGTTTTCAGTGTAGACACCGTTGGCTGTGTTGCTTCCCCAGGGGACACCCAGAGATTCTGGCTATTGCTTCATGTTGTCATAAGTCTCTGAAGGATCTCTATCAACTTGCAAGTCCTCTTACCTCCAATTTAGGCAGAAGCCAAGGAATTCTGAGTTTGAAGACTGGAGGAGACAGTGAGTCAAGAGGTCAGAGGAGGGTGGAGCTGTACATTCCTAGGTGAAGTGGTGGTGGCTATGGACTGTGTGTCATGAGTCCTAGCCTAGGACAATGCCTTAACGCTAAGGAGATACAGGATTCAAGATCAAGTTGTGCATGAGAAGGTAGCCAACCCCTTCCTCAAATCTACTAGCTTGGAGATAGTGGTAGTTTCGAAATCAAAGGAGTTTATTTTGGGACAAGTGAAAATATTTTTGTATAGTGACTGGAAAACTCATGAAATGTTTTCTTCCAGTGGTAGTAAGTACAGGCTGAAAGAATAAACATGCTGCTCCACAGCCAGGTGTGCTGGTACATGCCTATAATCCCAGCACTCTGGGAGGCTGAGGCAGGAATATTGCAAATTCAGACCCAGGCTGGGCAATTTGGTGAGACTCTGCCTCAAAAAATAAAAAGGGCTGGTAATCAAGCTCACTAAAAAGGCCCTGGGTTTAATCCCCAGTACTACAAAAACACATATAAAACAAATGAAAACAAGTTCCACAAAGGTGTAGAGGAAGTCATCACAGTGAAGTTTAACACATCAAAAGAAAAAGAGGTATTTCCAGGTATCTTCCTACCTTGTGTGGTTAAAGAATATAAAAAAAAAATCAAGATTTTATATTTTGTTTCTATAACTTGTATAATTATAGTTTCTTTTCATTTACCTAAAATGTTCAAAGAGGGAAACAATTTATAGTCTTGACCAGTTTTCTACTGATTATGTTAATTGGTGTTAGATCAGTGATGTCAGTAGAACCAGGTGTGGTATCACAAGCCCTTAATCCCAGCACTCTGGGAGGCTGAGGTAGGAGGATCAAAAGTTCAAATCCAGAAGTGTAACAGATTAGGAAGACCCTGTCGTCCCCCCCCCCCGCCAAAAAAAAGGTTAAAGATGTAGCTCATTGTAAAGTTCTGAGTTCAGTCTCTAGTATCACTCACACAAACCTCACAAAACAGTCAGCAGGTTAAATATCATAAGACCAGAGAGGGGCTGGTGAGATGGCTCAGTGGTCTAAGGCACCTACTTAGAACAAGCTAAGCTAAGCAAAACACAGGGACCTTGGTTCAATCCCCCAGCACCACATGCCAGCCAGCCCTGCCCCCTGGTGGGCTGAGCTGGCCACACACACACTAAATAAATAAATAATAAATAAATAAATAAATCTTAAAAAAAAAGAAAAAAATAAGACCAGAGAGAAATTCCTACTATCTATGATGGATATAGTTTACAACTTTATGCAAAGACATACAATTTTTTCTACAGATATTTTAATTATAGTAATTTTCCATAATATTTATGAACTTGAGGTTATAAACTTTTGGTCCTTAGAATAAGATTTTAATTCTAAAAAAAGATTTTTATTTTTAATAGATAGACTTGGACCAAAATTTAATTTTGCTGACATTATACAGAATATGTATAGATGTAAGTTAAATTTTTGTGATAATCAGTTTGTAACTATTTATTAATTTTATCTTTTGTGTTAGTCTTGTTTGGCAACCTTTTCTCTAAAGGACCAGATGGTAAATATTTATTTGTTTGTTTGCTTGTTTATTTTTGCAGTACCAGAGATCAAATTGGTACCTTGCACTTGCCAGGCAGGCACTTATGCTGCTGAGCTAATCCCTGGCCCTCCATTTTTAAAATTTTATTTATTTATTTATTTATTTTTGCAGTAACCAAATGGTAAATATTTTACATTCCATAGGACAGTAAGCAGAACTCTAGAATTGTGCACGTGCTTATGTACTGAGACAGAAATGCCTGCCTTGCTCTGGCCTGTCTTGAGCCAACAGGCAGTCTCAGGTGGGAGCATGCTTCATGCCCACCGCCCATCAGTGGAAACAATCTCACAAGTCGGGGTCTAGCAGTGGATATTTGACCACTAAGAGCATTTTCAGGGCCGGGGAGATGGCTTAGTGGAATGAAGCGCTTCCCTGGCAAGCGCAAGGGCCTGAGTTCAATCCCCAGTTCCACAATAAATAAATAAGAGCATTTTCAGTCTTTGCTCCAGGGACACCCAGACACTGGCTTGCTCTTCCTCTTTTTGGAAGGTTCAACCATTTCAACTTGGCCAGCTGGCTTGAGACGAGGCAAGTAAGTTGTTAGCTTCTAAACTGAAATCCCACTCGTTGGTGGCCAGCAGTTGACAACAGCAGAGGTCCTAGCACATAGGTTACAATGAACTGAGCTCCCTGGGCAGTGGTAAGGCATGGCTGCCAGTCACAGGAAGCCCTAGGAGCAGAGTGGGATACAGGACAGCGGAGAGCTGCTCTAGCTGGGTCTTTACAGCTCACCGTGCTAATTCCTCCAGAGATGTCTGCGGGCCATGTGGAGTCGGGCAGCAGTCTTCCACATGAGGCTCTGACTTGGGTGTCCCAAAGTAGTGTTACAACAGCTGTGTCTCAGGGCAGGCCTTACTGGCCATGCTGCTTCCCTTCCAGGATTAAACCGGAAGACGCCATGGACTTTGGTATTTCTCTCCTCTTCTATGGCCTCTACTATGGAGTTCTTGAGCGAGACTTTGCAGAAATGTGTGCAGACTACATGGCATCTACAATAGGGGTGAGTTGACTTGGTGTCTTAGTACTCCTTCCTGCCACCTCCAGATGGTTCAGGCTAGCATCACTAGGCACCAGGAGGTGAGAAAAGCCATATCCAGTCTTTTAAGATGTGGGTGGTATGTGTTATGATTTCTTCCTTAAAACTCAGAAAGCCAGGTCTCAGACGTAAGCTGAAATTTTTAACTTCAGGGCCATTATAGGAAACAACCACTTTACCCAGCAGAAAGTTAACATTCTTTTAACAAATGGAGTGTGTGTGTGTGTGTGTGTGTGTGTGTGTGTGTTCGCATGTGCACATGGATGTGTGCATATATGCACTGTGTGCTGGAATTACAATACAAATAAGTGTCCTTACTCAAATGAAGTTTACTCTGTAGTGAGAGAAATGAGCATTAAAGTAATACACATACAAATGAACACAATTATAACTTGAATAAACACAAAGAAAAGTTTTGGATACTAGGTGCTAATACATGAGTGACACACTCGACCTTCTCGCAGTGATCAAAAGTTAGCTTCCAAATGACTATTGATTTGGCTTGAATAATGATTGGAGATAAATGGATATGTGAAGAGTGCAGCATGTTGAGGTAAGAGCAGGCCTAAGATGGAGGCCAGTGCGGTGCTCGTGAGGAGCTGAGGCTAGTGTGGTCGTGTAGCCAAGAAGGTGGTGAAAATGTCTGGAGAAATAACAGCTAAACAAACAAAAACAGCCTTAGGCCAAAAGGTTTTGTGTTTTTAGCGTCCTTCACTAAAGACAGTCCAGGTGTGGTGGCACATTCCTATAACCCAAGCACTCATGGGGCTGATGCAGTAGAATCCTGAGCTTGAGACGAGCCTGGACTACAGAGCAAGACACTGTGTAAAATCCAAAACCAAAACCAAACAAAAAACAAAAACAGCAACAAAAAAGCCCCAAAAGACACTGGGTGGCTTAGATAATGACTATCAGATTTTATGTCAAGATCATCCTTGCGGGGCTGGAGAGATGGCTCAGTGGTCTAAAGCACCTACTTGAAACAAGCTTGACAAAGCACAGGGACCACGGTTCGATCCCCAGCACCACATGCCGGCCAGCCCGCCCCCTGGTGGGCTGAGCTGGCCACACACACACACACACACACACACACACACACACAATAAATAAATAAATAAATAAATAAATGTAAAAAAAATAAAATCTTAAAAAAAAAAAAAAGACCATCCTTGCTGCTGGGTAAAAAACAGAGATGGGTCCACAGGTCAGACTGGATGCTTGAATCGACCGTTGCTATCAAACTTAAAGGTAGCATTGATTGGAGTAGAGTTGGTGGAAAGAGAAATGGGGGGTTTTAAGAGTTAAGTTTTTTTTTTTTTAAGGAGTTAAGTTTGATGGGGCTTGGATATGGTTTGATTCTGAAGATTGACACAGAAATATAAAGGAAATGTAGACATCAAAGTTGATTTTCCAGCTTGGCAACTAGTTGGGTTGTAGTGCCTTTCAAGGAAGTAGGAAGTACTGCAGACAGTGAACCGCATAGAAAGATATTTCAGGGCTAAAGTGTGGTTAAAGTAACATCTAGTCTGAGAGACCTAAGGAAATATCCCTAATATTTTTTCAAGTGAGAGAAATAAGTCAGGTCTGGTGGCACACACCTGTAATCCCAGCACTTGGGAGGCTGAAACAGGAGGACTACCATAAATTCAAGGCCAGCCTCAACTACATAGTGAAAGCTATCTCAAAAAAAAAAGGCTTCTCCATATCGTTGGACTAATTGTCCTTTTCCTCCCTGGATCAAATTGAAAAACAAAATGCACTGGATCCTTTTGTAGGTAGCTGCTACAATTTGGGTATGGTTGTATACTGCAAGGGTGAATGTGTTGGAAGTTTAATCCTCTGTGTGGTGGTGTTGAGACTCTGGGTTCTTTAAGAGGTAGGGCCTAGGGGGAAGTTACCAGGTCACTGGAAGATGCCCCTGGAGGGATTTAGACAGTTGTCCTAGGACTCTAAGCTAGTTCTTGCGGGATTGAACTGTTAAAAGAGGGAAACTAGCCCCCCATTTTTCTCTGGCTTCCTGTATGGACTTGATGTCTTCCTCCTGCATGTGGTCCCTCCACTGTGGTGTCCTCTGTCCTCTGCCAGGGCCCCTTGCCAGAGCCAGCACTATTCTGTTTGGACTTTCAGCTTCCAAAACTAGGAGACAAATAAAGCCTTTCCTCATATGTGTCCGACCTTAAGCATTGTGGTATAATAGTGAAAAGGAAGTCAGTGCAGCAGCCACTTGGGATCCCTTTTGAACAGCTGCTGTATATTTTACGTTCATTCCACTGTCTCACCCACTTGTACAGATTTTACCAGCTCATGCTCCTCGAGAAGAGATTTCCAGAGTACTGTGTTACTCAGTTTGTGCTTGGCAGCAGCAGTTCACTCAGATGCGTCTGTGGCACAGCCACCTTTTCAAAGCAACTTTTGCTGGTATTCTCTTCTTTATCCTCTCAACGCTATGTCTCTTTTTTTTCTTCTCATTTTGTTTTTATAGAACCATTTATTTAATTTTATCAGGCTATTGCCAGTTTATCTCAAGATTATCAGCCACCAATTTAAACCTCAGGAGGATCACTAGTAACCAATCTTCACAATTCTCATCTTTTCAGTCAGATTGATTCTGAGCTTAGCATTTCCACAAGTTAGCTTCTTCTTCAAGAGATAGACTAATTATACTGAACTCTTCCAAATAGGATTTGAGCTGGGACCTCTTGCCATGTTTTTATGGGAAAGGAGCTTCTGGGGATTGAACCCCAGGGTCTTCATGCAGAGCTATATCTCTAGAACTTTTTTTTTTTTTTTGAGACAAGGTTTTGCTATGTCGTCCAGACTGGTCTTGAACTCCCTATGTTGCCTAGGCTGGCCTCACAGGGATCTTCCTGCCCCAGCCTGCTAAGGGTTGGGATTGCAGGATATACTACCATATATATCTGGCTATCTCCAGACCTTTCAAAAAATTTTAATAGAATGTAGCCCACATTGGGCTAAAAGTCACTACCCTCCTGCCTTATCTCCCAGAGGCCTGGGATTATGTGGAGGAAGCAGAAATCATGCTTTGCTTTTCATATTCTTAGGGAGAATTATTAGGTGCTTCACGATTAAAAGTGATAATCCGGGGCTGGTGAGATAGCTCAGTAGAATAAGCGCTTGCCAGGCAAGCACAAGGGCCTGAGTTCAATCCCCAGTTCAAAAAAAAAAAAAAAAAAAAGTGATAATCCGTAGAAGTTGTAAATGATAGGACACCTCAGACTTTAGCTATTGGTCTCTCATTTTCTCTTACCGTTTATGAACTGGTCTCCCTACAACTCCATTCTTTCCATATTAATGTATTAATATCCAGGCCCAAGGATAAAAAAGACCTGTCATTGGCTCTATTGAAGGATTAAGAATGCTGACAGAAAAATGAACTATGAGGCTAATGAGAAGTTCGTAGGCCTTACCAGACTGCCCACTTTCCAGCCCTTTAGACCCCACAGTCTCTCAGCATCCCTCTTAGTAACCAATACCTAGAATCTGTATCTAGATAACTACTCTCCTGAATGTCTCCCTGGAGCCTATATTCCTGCCAGAAATCATGTCCCCTTCCTCCCTACTTAGGTCAGTCTTCTGAGCAGGTCCTGGTGTCTTATATGAGGACCTGTCTCTTCAGCAATGTATTAAAAATGGCGATTCCTTTTAGAGGAACCATTCACTTATCCAAAGGCTCATGGCCTTTCTGACCCTGACTAGACAAGCAGTATGCTGGTTTCCCAGGCATATTACTGGTGAGTGGGCAGTGTCCTGAGAAGACTAGAGTGGTGTGGTAGTACTAGATGACTTACCAGGAGTGAATTCACCTTCATTGTTTACTATAGCAAATAGCTCAGGCTTGGGGCTGGGGAGATGGCTCAGTAGAATAAGTGCTTCCCTGGCAAGCGCAAGGACCTGAGTTCAATCCCTGGTTCCACCAAAAAAAAAAAAAAAAAAAAAACCACCAAAACTCTCAGACTTTCAAGTAACACATAGCTTTAGATACCTGCAAATCAGAGAAGCAGGGATATGGAAGAAGGGGCTCCAGCATGGGAGAGGGGAATGGATTGCAGTATTTTTCCATCCTTGAAAATTCCAAGGGGCCGGGGAGATGGCTCAGTAGGATAAGCGCTTGACTGACAAATGCAAGGATCTGAGTTCAATCCCCGGTTCCGCAAAAAAAAAAAAAAAAGAAAAGAAAATTCCAGTATTTTACTTATGGTGAAATCTGATAAAGTAGGTCTTACTCTATTCAGGAACGCCTTGGCTCCCAAACTGTAGCAAACTGAATTTCAAGAGTATCACTGTTCTTCAGAATTTGATCAGTACTTTGTAATATAGTACAGGGTCTATAGGGTCTCACTACACAGATCAGACTTGTAGTGATCCTCCTATTTTCAGCTTCCCAAGTGCTGGAATTACAGCTGTGTACCACCATGCCTAGTTTCAATCTACTCTCTGTCTCAGTGTGCCCCAAGAATGGGGTTGGCATGGCATGCCAGAGATTGAACCCTGGTCCCTGCATCTGCCTAAGCAGGCGCTTTACTCCGCTGAGCTGTCTGGCCAGCCATCTGATCAGTACTTTGAAACAGCTAGGAAAACACAGCCTTAGCTCATTCATGTACTTATGCGAGCAGTGGTTGTTGTTCAGTCATGTGCCCTGCGCACAGCAGCGATCAGATGCAGCCCGTACCGTACCACCATTGCCTACTTCCTGTAGCAGTCCTGGTCACTGGTGCGTCGTGGTTTTTTGTATTTTGGTTTTTGGTGGTTTAATCCAGGGCCACAGGCAGACTATGTAGGCACTCATAGTGAGTTACATCTGCAGACCTTTTTATTTTTTGCCTAGGCTGGCTTCAGTCTCACAATCCTCATACCTACTGAGTAGCTGAATTACGATGTGCCACCATGCCCAGCTGGCATTGGTTTTTTAATTGTAGAAAATACATATAACAATACCATTTTAA